TGCTATTTCTATTACAAGGGATATAATAAAATTATTTTCCTACAATTAGTACTGGTGATCTGTGGTCCTTCCCTTCAATATTTATATGAACTTTGACATCATATTATAGGATGATGAAAAAATGTGTCCCATTCACTGTAATATTATAGGATGATGAAAAATGTGTCCCTTTTGCCTCCGTCTGGAAAACCCAGAGAGGCTACTATGTTATTCAATTTCAGCAAACAACAAAGATTATTGAAAATCTAATCATTTGTAACCTTTAAGATGTCACTCTTTGTTGTTTTATCTACAAAACAATGGGTTATAAGCATAATGATGCACGGCTTCATGCTCCTGAAGCCTGTTCAGTATACTCTAGAATTACACTGTTCATCAGGGATTAATTTGCCTCCTGATAAACAGAACTTTGCTAATACATAGTGCATGGTGAATGGGAGGAACCAAAGATATTGCAATATAACTAGATCATATTAAAAAGCTTAATAGACCTTCTACATTAAACCAGTGATACTGCCAAAATATAACAGGACGTATTTGCTTAAAATGTATTTTCCTTCCAGTAATCTTTACAAAATCAAAGCACCATTCAGAGCGCTGTACTGGCTCTAATCCAAGGTCCATGAGAAATGGGGTCATTGAGGCTAACATGAATATGTCACCCTGTTGCTTGATTAGTAAACTGCTACTCTTCCTAAAAGGATAGTATTTCCCCAGCCAAATTGTAGCTATGATGGTTTTCCTGTGTTAATTTTTCACCATCTCGGTGTAGTCCAAATTTAAACACTGGGGGGGGGGGGCTAGGAAACTACGAGGATAGAAAGACAGACAAAAGGCAGTATTTAGTACCACCCATCCACATTCAAGTTAAATTTTGTTTCTCTGCCTATTCAAAGTCTTGCCAAGAGACAATCCCACTACAGAAAGTAGCAAGGCAGAAAAAGGAACTGTTATTTCAATGAGGAGAAATGACACACAAGGCAATAATGGCACTTTTGATTTCAACAGTCATGAATTGATCCGTCCTTTACCAGAATTGAGCAATGACTGTTTCCTATTTTGTAAAAAATACTAAAGTATGCATCCATAAAAACGGAAATTCTCGCTACAATAACTGAGTTTACAGAATGAAGTAAAACTAATGGGATTAAAAAAAAAACCAATTATCCGGTGCTAGGTAGTATGGAACATCACTTCAATTCAATCCATTTTTTTAAGATGGGGGTATCACTTTTTGAATAACCACAGTCCATCAACCAAGATGACCACAGATCATGTGTGCTGGGGATTCTGGGAGTTGTAGTCAAAATAAATTTGCCATGCTCTGATCCTGATAAAAGCTCTTTTGAGGCAAAATTACACATTTCACAGAGAAATGCAGACTGTGTAAGAAAAGCATTTTATGAAGAAACAGCTGACAGTGGGACTGCACCTACAGTACTGTATATGAAGCCTTTCCTAATTCTTACTTCCCTTTCCAAATCGCAGCTCTTTCTTGGCAATAATGATTTGAAACACGGGGTTGTGAGGGCTATAGATAGCTTGGCTCCAGCTACATCCTTCTGATGACAAAAAAGAAAAAGAAAAGAAAAAGAAAAGAAAAAGAAAAGAAAAGAAATTCAGTGATTTGCACATACTATGTAATTTGGTTCATTGCTGACCTGGGGCCACTGGTGAAAGGCACCTGTTTACACAAGTAGATGTAATCTATATTTTAAGGAGACTTAACTCTTTCTCCTTCTATCAGTTTTCCCTAAAGGTCAACCTATCCCAATGTGCAAGCTGTAGAAACAAAAACAACCTCAATTCAACTTCACCCAACAACTTTCACTGGCACCAAAAGTAACCTGGCCTGGCCTTCTCAGTGGCTGCTCCCAGTCTGTGGATCTCCCCCCCCTTCCCCACTAGCCTGGTTGTCTCTAGGGAGGAAATACCATTTTTCTTTTCAGAAGGGCTTCGGGCAGTTGAATGGATGTTGGGGAAATGTTTTTAATGGGTGAGTACAATATGGGCTTCACAGAGTGACTCTTAAATAGCCACTAATTCAATTTTTTAATAATACACTCATGCTTTAGCAACAGATGATTTGGTGTTTCTATGTGTCCTTTTCAAATTAATTATTTTTGTGAGCAGTCTGAGTATGAAGGCAGCATATAAATATAATATGAATAACCTAGGTGAGGTAGCTTAGCACCTGAGGAGAAAAATAAGAATTTAAAAACATCTACCTGCTCATGGCGCTCCCGATTAGTATTAGGCCCATGCACACTGACTTTGCAGTAACAGGAAAAAAATAGGATCAGTGGTACATTTATTTATGTATTTATCAATTCATTTCAGGTTATATACTGCACCATAGTGCACAGTCTCTGGACAGTTTACAGCATGTTAAACACACATATAAATACATCAAATTCCCAACAATAGATACTTAAAACAAATAAAACCCTGTCCTTAGCTAAAACCTAACTTTCAATAACATTAAACAAATTAAAACAGCGTTTAGCATCTCAGGTACTTAATAAAAGGCAGCATTGAATAATAGTGTTTTTATTTATTTTTGAAATACGGAGAGGGAAGGTGCCATATGAGAAGTTTATTTCAAAGGCAAAGGGCATTATATAGCCAACACAGTGCATAGTTTAGTCTTTATACGTCAGCCAACTGTAGTCCATAACATAATTTGAGGAGCACCACCAATCATAGAGCTAGTTGCTGCTTGAAACCTTGGCCAGCAGGTGGCGAAGGCTTCTGGGAGTTGTAGTCCAAGAACATCTGGAGGCCCAAGGTTGGGGACCACTGAGTTACGGGATGACCTACTAGACATGTCAAGACCATCTAGCAGATGGCCAATAGTTTCCACTGGGTTCTTAAAGTACTGTGCTGTGTTTCCAACATAATCTATGTTCTAGATCTGAACACATAAAATGTTAAGGTTAGGAGACTGGAAATATCATGTGCTATTGTAAATGGTTTCTAGAAGATGACATTTAGATCTGTTATGTTTATACAGTATCTAACCCTAACTCAAAGGAGCTCAGGGCAGTTTAGCTGCCTATTGTTACCCTTTAACAATATCTATAGTTGAACTATCCTGAGCTCCATCTATTAACATGATTTCAATACAGTGGTGATTGGTGATTTCCTCTGGATGAAGATAATCTCAGCAACTGCTCATAAGCTACAAAACTGCTTCAGAGCCCCCCCAAAATCTTCTGGGGCAAATTATTGGGGGTACAAGGCAGAGGAAGAATTGATGGAAAGTGCTCCCACTTCTATTGAGGAGACAGTACCATGGACAAACTCTGCTGTGAGACCCTTCCCATCAAATTAATATGTCGAATCTGTTTTATTTGTGATAAAAACCCTACCTTTTATTCTGAAAATTTATACTGTACATCTGTTTATTAATCAGGGTTATGCAGTGCTTTTCTCCCAAAAAATTATTATGGGGGGGTGTGAATAACAGTAATAAGATGAAAACATGAAAGGAATAATTAAAATATACCATAAAATTCACATAGCAAATCTCCAGCAGCCACTCTGGTTGCTGCTGTATATACGTTTGAACAAATCCTGTAACTGTGAAAACCTGCATCATTTAACATGGAACTAAATATGAATCTGGTATTGCCATTCTTAGCATAGAAAATAGCAATAAGCTCTAAATAATTACCTGCAGTTCTATATTGAGAATTTATCTGCCATGAATAATTAAATGCATAAAGAATGCTTTGTGACAAATGTGTATTTCAAAATGGTGTTAGGAAATGTTAAATGTGGACTTCAATGCAATAATAGGAACATTATTTCCCAATAATTCTGATTATTTTCTCTGCTCCATATTAATCAGTACCACCATACCTATGGTATCATACAAATCCAGTGCCCTGGAAATAAAAATGATGTAAAGGTTGCTTTATACATTACACTTTTTCCTATACACAAAGCATATCCATGTTACAAATACTGTACAATCCAAATGTGCAGGGTCACATGCACTGAGGCCGTACACATATGCTTAACTGGATAAAAATATGCTACAAAGTGATAGCACATGTAATTGTTTTCTGTTTTAGCAAAGCCATAACATAGGACCATCAAATTCTTTCACCAGCTACAATCCAACAGGCAGAAATCCTTACATACACCACTATGTAGTATGTCTCACTGTGTTTTAAACTGTCCTTAAGGCCCTGAGAAGTACGGCCTTAATTGCACTTAATCTCTGCTTTGGCTCACTCTGTTGAAAACTGTCCTTAAGGCCCTGAGAAGAATGGCCTTAATTGCACTTAATCTCTGCTTTGGACTGTGATGGCCTTTTTGTTTTTGTGCTTTGTCTTCAAATGAAGTCAAGAAGCAAAAATAAGATAATGTATACTATTTCAGATTTTCTATTGTAATCAGAAGTGTTTTATGCCTTAGGAACATAAACATTATATCCAGTGAAAAATTAAATAAATATGCCCGGCAGTCTACAAACAAACATTGGATTGGGATGGAGATGAACTCTTCAAACAAAGTAGACTGGGAATAAAGGTTATCTCCACTTCAATTTACTATTTACAAACTCAAGAGAAGCATTAGAAAGACAGGACCAGCACATACCTGTTTTTAAAGATGTAACATTTAAACAAACCCAGAATTCTACTGAAAACTAACCAGTGATGATGCGATGCACATTCTCTGTGGAATTAAAATGGTCACTTAAGCTGATAACATGACAATAGCGCAAGAGACAACATAGACCCAAACCCTGCAGCCTGTTGCTTACAGTACAGCCTATGTTTCCAAGACAAGCTCATCAGTGGCATTTTCATTATTGATGGATCAACCTTAGGAGGATCAGAAAGTCTGCCCAGAAAGATTAATAGTCCAAAAGCTGGATGCTTAGTCATGTAAATGTAAACTATTTTTAGCAAAACTGCAAATGGAAATAACACACGGGCCATCCCCTTCCTTCTGTTAAAACCCTCAAGATGAATAAAGTCTACACATACCAATCTGCGAATTTCCCGCTCACATTCTCTCTTTATCCTGGTAATTTCTTCTTGGTGAAGGTGGTACACACTCCGTATCTCTGCTGCTTTCATTTTGTCAGCTTGAACGACCACAGATAAAGCTTCCTCCACTTGTTTTTTAGCTCCCTTAAGCTCTGAAATTTCCTGTTGCATTTTGATTTTCTCAACTTCAAATCCCTTCTTGGCCTCCTCTTTTGCTTCCGAGAAAAGCACTGTCTTAACCTTATCAGGCGTCCCATCCCGTACAGTATTAAGTAAGGCCTGTAGTCTTTGAATTTCATTATCTTTAATTTTTATGACTCTAAGCAGCTCAGCTTCATGCTGTCTTAGAAGTCCTTCCCGAACAGCCTGGAGCTCCCTCATTTTCTCTTCATGAAGTTTAGCCTTGAGTTCTGTTACAATCACTATGTTTTTATGCTGTTCGTGTTCTTTGATCTGCTTGACTTCCTGATTTTTCTCCCTCTCCAATTTGCTGACCTAGAGAAGAAAAAGAGTATGTTTTAAGGTTATTTACCAACAGGCAATGAACATTGGGCAATTAACATTATGCAACAAGAATGAACTTACCATGAAATCAGCAAATGCTATTTATCACTGTCAACTAAAGGCCAAAAGGCATATTATGTTTATTGTGTGAGTGTATTGAATGCTGTGGGGTTTTTTCCCCATTAACACTGACAATCAGAAGGTTGCTGGTGTCAATATGTTAAGCAAAGGTGGGGGGGAATGAGGACTGAACAGAGACTTTTAAGAAAACTCCTTCTGTGATTTTGTCACTGACACACTGCTAATCAAAATACAGAGAAGGGAATGGGAGCAAGTAGGTAGGTAGGGAACTCCTTTTTCTGGCAAAGTTCAAAAGGCATGAAGGGAATGGAAGCAAGTAGGTAGGTAGGGATCTCTTTCAAATTTTTCTGGCAAAGTTCAAAAGGCATGAATAAATCCTTATTGAAAACAGGCACTGTAATGTCCAAAAGCAAATGCATATGTGATTTTTAAAAAATGTTTCAGTATGAGGATAATTCATACACAAATGTGCTAATATAGACAGGCCCGACCATAATTCAGGCACCTTCTGGATATTGGCAAATTAGTCACATCCCATACTTGGCGGAGGGTAAGGGAAGTAGTTTTTTTTTACTATACATAGACTATCACTGATACACTGCATCAGTTCTAAAAAAATTAAAAAAAAATTTCTTTGCCTTGTGTTAAAGGGCCGATCAGGAAACGGTCCATAGTCAAATCTACAGTGGTAGCTTCAGCAGCAGGCAGTTTTTCAATTGGCCCTTTAAGAAAGGAAAAAGAAAAGATTTTTTTAAAAATAATTGATGCAGTGTATCAGTTATAATCCATGTACAGTAAAAAAATTTTTTTAAAAAACTCCCCTGCCGAATATTTTGAAGAGGCTCACTTATTAAGTCACTTCATAATATTGGCAGGAGCCATTTCTGTGGGAACAGTTGGGCTTGATTAAATTAAATTTGATCAAGCCCAACTATTCCAAAACAGCCCATACTAGCTTGCTCTCTGATGCTAATGTAGCTGCACCCTAACTCATGCTAGGTAGATGAGATTGTGCTAGGGCACGCATCCTTCCCCATTTAATAGTTTTCACCTCTCTTAAGTGCACTCATCTTAGCTGACAATTTTATGATGGGCTCTGCAGTCCACCTGGAAAAAATGGGCAAATGCAATTATAAAATTATAAAAAGAGCACTTTTGAAGGGCCAATAACAAGTGTCTAACTAGAGGTCAATGGTGGCAGATCAATCTGCACCAAATATAATTCTCTGTAAACCAAATTGCTTTTTAAAAAAATTAAAAACCATTATTTAATTAGCAAACCAATTATGCTAATTCAACAAACTGAATGTTTTCAGGTTTAAATTTTAACAGTAGCATTTCTAACATTCAACACCAAGAAAGAAATTTTCAGGCCTAACATTCCAAGTTTTCAGGCAACATTACAAATTGCCCTAGCAAGCACACCAAACCAAACCACTGTCATCTAAACCAGTGGTCTCCAACCTTGGGCCTCCAAATGTTCTAGGACTGCAGCTCCCAGAAGCCTCCCAGGATTTCTGTGAGTTGAAGTCCAAGAACATCTGGAGGCCCAAGGTTGGGGACCACTCGTCTAAACCATTACTTCTGACGATCCTTCTTTTACACCTCAGATATCCAGATTGTACAAGTGAATGTGTCCTCCCACAACAGGTTTTTCTCCTCCACTCTTCCCCTTGCAGCCCTGTACCCCAAATCCAGAGGGTCCTCCAAACCTAATTAAAAAAATACTTAAGAGGACAGATCGGAGGCTGCTGCCTGGAGGGTGAATGACTACCCCCAATTCAGAGCAAAAGCTGCATTGTCTGCAGTAGGGATTAATGGGGCACCACCCTTAATATGCCATGTGATATGTTACACTGCTACATTGATTTTATCTCTCTCTGCGGGCTAAAATGTTTCTATGTTTCAATTTATTTGTTTCACTCCTTAATTTTAATATTCCATTTTTAAAATTTATTATGGCCTGCCTATGTTACTGGGCAGTCAATACAAATATAGCAACTAAAAGACATAGATTCATACCCTGTTTCCCAAAAATAAGACCTAACCTGAAAATAAGCCCTAGTATGATTTTTCAGGATGCTCATAATATAAGCCAAACCCCAAAAATACACCCCAGTTAAGTGAAACCCCACCCTCCATCCTTGCGCAGCAACTAGAAGATGACACGATTGCATTTGAATAAATGTAGATTGTTGTTGTTGAAAAAAGTAAAACATCCCCTGAAAATAAGCCCTAATGGATTTTTGGAGCAAAAATTAATATAAGATCCTGTCTTATTTGTGGGGAAACACTGTATGTTTCAGTTTTGAAATAATATCATACTTACTTGGTGGTTTATTAGCTATTAATTAAGTCCTCCAGGAAGTTTAAAAATCTGACTTGTTGGGAGCTATACAATGGTGCCTCACAAGACGAATGTAATTCGTTCCGCGAGTAGCGCTATTTTGCGAAAAAATAATCTTGCAAAAAGTGGTTTCCCTTAGGAATGCATTGCAATGAATTCCTATGAGAACCTTGGAAGATGAATGAATTTTTTCGTGTTGCAAGGCATCGGTCTTGGGGGGAAATCGTCTTGCGAAGCACGGCCATAGAAGAAACCGTCTTGCGAGGCACCACAGCGATCACAAAAAACATTCGTCTTGCGGGTTTTTCGGCCCACGAGGCGTTCGTCTTGCGAGGCATCGCTGTACATTTTAAAAAAACCTATGAGTCACCTTCTTTAATAATATCCTTCTGCTGAGGAAAGAAGCTGCTACATGAGCAATTCAATACTCCAACCCTGCTGAGTAAGTTATTCTACCCATCATTTATACAACAATTATAAGGTATCACTCACTTTCCTCATTAGAAACACGTCAAAGAGAGAAGCGTTTTATTCAAAACGCTGTACATTTTTTAAAAACCTATGAGTCACCTTCTTTAATAATATCCTTCTGCTGAGGAAAGAAGCTGCTACATGAGCAATTCAATACTCCAACCCTGCTGAGTAAGTTATTCTACCCATCATTTATACAACAATTATAAGGTATCACTCACTTTCCTCATTAGAAACACGTCAAAGAGAGAAGCGTTTTATTCAAAACCGTTGACTAAAATTGCTTGCCTGCATCTGATAAAAACAAAATGATAGGCACAATGCAGGGTATTCCTTTCCATTAGTGACCACTTGTTTTGCAGTGCAAACTGCTCCCATTGCCAAGCACAGCAAAGTCCAATAAAATCAATATACTGTAGAAGTCTACAGCGGCTTCCATTTACCAGGATGAAGTTTAATGTTATGAAATGGAGTGACGCAGAAGAGAGTAGGAGTGGAATAATACACAAGAAACTATAACTATTTACAGTCTTCTAATTTCACATGTATTAACAATCAGCATGTAGGGCAATACCTTTTTCCTTTTTATAGCCCAGATCAGCTACTGCTCATATGCTTTTCTGTCCCAATGTTTGCCTATTTCCTTGTTGCCTTTTTTTTTTTTTTTTTGGAAGATCTAGCTGAGGTCAAGGAATAGACAGTTTAAAGAGGAAGAAACAAACCACGAGTATATTGTTCAGTCTATTATTTTCCTTGTCTCTCTTTCCCAGCTAAAGGCCCAGCTAAACTACAGTACTTCAGGTGAAAACTGTCTCATCCATTATCTTGGCAGCGCTTTTGAAGTTCCAGAGAAATCACCAGTGATGCTTACAGACACACTTCAGTGATTCACTGAAGACATAAACAGTCCTTGTCTGGTATTTACAGGTTGTTTAGAAGCTATAGAGATGGAATATACTCTCTGGAAATGTACGTTGTAAACAGAGCTTAGCATCACAAAAAATTCTGGTTCACAATTTCTTATCTATTTTGTTTATTAAAATAATTCTGTCTCACTTTTGATTCAAGACACAGCTCCCTTCCTTCTGTAAATATCTCAGAGCCTGGGAAAGTTACTTTGGCGGGGGGGGGGGCTACAGTAGACTAATGAAATAATTAAACTTGACAACAGAGGAAGATAAGAAAGGGCACAGTAATAAATAACAAATATTAAATTAGTGAAGCTGCTCAGTTCTTCCCCAGGCTTAAATACCAGCTGAAAATCTTTACTGCTTTTTGAAAGTGCAAGCAAGGCTAGCCTTTCTAGCAAACATTTACAGCTTTGTTGCCAATAACGGAAAAGGGCTTGTTCTGTGTAAAGCTGCTGACTTGAATGTGCCTGGATAGGATTATGTGGAAAGAAGTACTGTAGTCCTCAGACCCTGATAGCCAGGGCAATTGCTTCAAAGTTGCCTGAACCTGATCTTATCTCTCTCCGCGTGGTGGGCTCTGACATTTTATACAATTCAAGTTTTTAAGCTGCCTGTAAAGGGATTCCCATGCAGAACACACTGTCTTCTTCACTACAGCAAATCTAATTCTTTTGAAATTATGGTACAATATTGTTTTCTAAATATCCAACAAGACATACAAATTAACTCAAGCACATTTTATGCTATATAAAATGTGCTTATATATATGTTTACTTTTCTGAGGATGAGCAGGTTACTTACCTGTAATTGTGGTTCTTTGAATGGTCATCTATGAATTCATACATATGAGTGTTTCTGTTCTTATACAAAACTTGTTGGAACATTGTAGAGTTTAAAGCAGAAAACCATTAGGGCAGCCCTCACCACCGTACCGTGCATGTTCCTGCACCTAGTGGTTATCCCTCAGTTCCCCAAGTCCATTGCTGTCTAGGGCTGAAACAGCAAACTGAGGGGGGGATGCGTGAATTGTGTGAATTAACAGATGACTACTTGAAGAAAGTGGGGTTACTTACCTGTAACCAGGGTTCTTCAAGTGGTCATTCTGTGAATTCACACATAAAGGGTTAAGTCAGCGCCAGCGTCGGTTCCTTAAGCACTGGGCTGTGTGTGATATTTTCACCCATCTTTGATCCCATATTAATAACAAACAGCTTGTTAGACTGCTGGAAATGCTGTTCTTGAGGTGTAGAGGACCAGGGCTCAATGGACATCTAATGTGTGAAGAGCTTCTTCTAATTCCATAGTACGCAATGGAAAGAAATCTGGGAGAACAAGAGGCCAATTAAGGTGAAAATCTGATACTGCTTTAGGGAGGAAGGATAGACATATCAGGAAAAACTGTGACCTTATTCTTGTGGAGTTGCAGGAAGGGGGAGTCATGCCAGAGAGCATATAATCACTTGCTCTTCATGCTGAGGTGATAGTCACCAAGAACACTGTTTTTAAAAAGATATGTCTTTCCTCTACCATAGCCATGAGCTCAAAAGGTGGTTTCAGGAGTTGGCTGGGCACTAGAGAAAATGACCACTGTGGAGGTGGAGCTCGTATAGCCAGAAAGACCTTCTGCACACCCTGAAGGAATGTCTTGAGAGTTGGATTTCTGAGATATTGTGACACTTTGGAGCCAGGAGGCTGTTCGGACACTATCGTTGACATACAGACCTTCATGGAAGAATTAGACAAGCCATTCTCCTTTAGACATAGGAGAAAATGCAACACCCTATGCAACGAAGGCATGAAGTAGGATTTCACAAATTAATGGGCAAAGGAAGAAAACTTCCACCATTTGTATATGTAGCTACGTCTGCTGGATGGCTTCCTGAATTCATGAAAGAATCTCGTCAGTGATTTATTTATTTAAAATATTTATATCCTGAGAAAAAGGACTCAAGGTGGCTTACATAACTAAAAACACAATATCACATCTCTCTAGGAAAGGGTGAACTGGCACACTAGTTTTGATGGTGCAATGGCACTCCTGACAACTACCAAGACTTGGGCATCCAGGCTCAGAGGTGAATCCAGAAGCACACCCAAGTAGCATACCTGAGCTTCCTTAGGGAGTGCAACCCTGTCCCACACAGGATGGATCCCTCTTCCTTGATCTGCCTTTCTCCTTGATCTGTCTTTCTACTGAACAGGAGACCTCTGTCTTGTCTGGACTAACTTTCAGTTTATTCATCTTCATCCAGTGCACACCCAAGTAGCATACCTGAGCTTCCTTAGGGAGTGCAACCCTGTCCCACACAGGATGGATCCCTCTTCCTTGATCTGCCTTTCTACTGAACAGGAAGACCTCTGTCTTGTCTGGATTAACTTTCAGTTTATTCATCTTCATCCAGTCCATTACTGACGCCAGACACTGATCTAGAACTAAAATAGCTTCCGTGGATTTTGATGGTAAGGAAAGATACAGTTGGGTGTTATCAGAATACTGGCGACACCAAATCTCAAAACTCTAGATTGCCTCTCCCAGTGGCTTTATGTAGACCTTAAATAGCGTTTTGGAGAAATCAGAACCTGAGGGACCCCATAGGCCAATGGCCAATGTGTCAAACAGAAGTCCCTCAGCCCATCTTCTGAGTTTTCCTCTCCAAAAGGGCCTGGGGACAGCATAAAACAGTGCCTCCAAACCCCATTCCTGTTGATCAGGTGGTAGGATTTGAGATTGTTTAGATGTGGCTGATTCTGGGTGGTGTCTAATGGAGTCTCCATTTTGTTGAGCTACAGTGTTCATGCTCTCTGGTCAGTTCTGAATCTGATTCCAAAGATCAATCCAAGGAACAGGAAATCTACTTGGTCTTTTTCTGCTTCTTCAATATCAAAGCTGAGGATTAGGATTGACGTACCTGTTGTTGGTGTAGGATCAAGCTGAGTGGCAGTGGCTATGTTTATATGATGCCGATTACGCAGTGGACACAGAAGAGACGGAGTATAGAGAAACCGAACATCCATGTGTGATTCACAGAGACCACAATGAAGAACCATTTCTTGTATATATTGGGATTTGACCAGTATAGACACTTACTGTCTCAGGCAGCTACAATTTCTCAGTCACTATGGGCTAAGTCCAATTTTAATTTCAAATAAAGTAGATCCACTGACATTAATGCAACTCATACAACTAGTGAATAAAAAGTCCTATTTATTTTGATGGGTCTATTTTTCTTGGGATTAATATTGGACTTAGCTGTACATATCTACATAGCTGTACATATGTAGCTCTCACTTTCAAATTGCTGCAGATTAAGAAGTCAGTGTATAATGGGAAAGTTCTTCACTTCTAGCAATTTGCTGCTAAAAGTTCCACCACTGATATTATGCTGACGGAAATATACAATATGCTTGCAACCACTGCTTAACGTCGGTGAGGGGGCCACCTCAAGCAAGCCTAGTAGGCCATTCATCCTCACTCCACAAAACAAGGGAAGCCCAGGAAAAAGTGAGTTTCGGGCCTCATGATAATCATCAACCATGTTGGAAGATGTGGGGAGAGGCAGTCAAGGACTTGATAGAGGACAAATGGAGCCACTTCCTCCTGCCCAGCCCATTTGGCCATGGAAGAGGTTGGGGAAGTGAGGCTCTGGCAACACAGCCCACTAATCCAGCACCACTCCAGCCTTGGTGTCCTCAATCCCTGATGGGAGCCATGACACCTACCTCAACCCAGCTTCGGTGCTGGAGACATAAGCAGCAACAGATGCAGCAAAGAAATTCCAGGAGGATCAACACCGCAGAGCCCAGTGTTGCCTTGACCAGCCCTCCCTGAAAGGACTGCACTCCTGATTGGGATTCATCCTTCCCGCTGCTTCTCCAGACTTGGACTTCCAGGGATCCCAGTGAAGTCAACTGGAGTGCCAGCCAGACTGATTTTACCCAGGGGTTAGTGCCAGAAACTCTCACACAGGGAAAGGGGTAGTAGGGGCTGACTCTGTGCCTTTTATAAAAGGTAACGTGAGTGACAAAACTAGGCTGAAACTCATTGAATTTTTGCCTGAGGGCTTTTCACCCTCTGGGAAAGGGGGGACAGCAGGACTCACATCATAATTAAAAGTCATTTTTAGTGCAAAGCAAAGTATCGATGAAATATAATTTGTCTTCAAAGTTGTCTCCTTTCTCTTTAGGTTACTATAAAATACATGCTTCAGACTGTCTCCAAATAGCCAAGGATAATTTAATTCCAGAAGTAAAAGCTAGATTATTCTCCTTAGAAATTGTCACGTCAGCCACTTTAAGGTGTACCATAGATGGATTTATGCCATCAACCCTACATTTTGGCAGTCTCACTTCTTGAAGAATGGCACATGCTGACAACCCAGCTGCTTTGGCCTCCATAGGGGACCAATTAGAGAAGTCTCTAAATAATTCATCAAAATGCACGTTCAAATAAAGAAATAGATCCAAGGCAACCTTCAGGCTCCATTCCTCAAGAGCCATATTAAGACAAGGGCCTTGTTTAATGTTTATTGCATCTTTTGTGCGATCAGATTCTCAATTTTCAAACCTTAAGCTGTCCCCTATTGCAAACACTCCCGCACTCCACAAAAGAGAGAACCCAATATGCTGATACTAATATATTGGTATGTTCATATCTTGTGTATCTTTCACACATGGGGTCATTTATTAACACACACAAATCAGGAAGTCTATTGAATTAAATGGTGGTTTCTCTCAGCATAAGAAAAGAGCTGTGAAACATCTCTGCATGCATTTTCCATCTCTGCGTTTTGGAAACAAGAGTTAGCAGGATGGTTTTTCCTTTTGATTAACTTGGGGGTGGGGGATGGGGAAGATGCACACCTTACTCTTTTCTTGCTGGAGCTCTATCTGAATGTCTGTGAGTTTTGCCCTGAGCTCTTCATTAGCCGCTTGCAAGGCAGCTAAGGGGTCCGGTCTTTCTCCTTTAGCTCGAAAGCTGGCACCCTTCTTTGACATTGTGAGACGACGTGGCGAGAGGGGTAGAATCCCAATCGGAGAGAACCTTCCGTTCTCGTCTATCCTTTGATTCTGTTCCACGACATTTTCTCACTTGCCTGCATAAAGAGAAATAAAACATTGTGGTGAGTTGTGTGGGTCCATAATTAGCCCTACAAGAATCCAGCCAGCTTAAATTAAAGAGGGTTGAGTAAGGGGGTGGGGTGGGGGAAGCAACAGCCTCCACTCCCCATGAGGTCTTTCCAAAGGCTTAGGCACCATTTATTTTGTTCACTCTCTTGGCAGTCAGTAGGTCTTTCAAATGCCAGGTCTTCTTCAAGAGATACGGCTGCCAATTCTAAAAAGACAAGGTTGACAGATACCACTGATAAAACAATAAAGAGAGAAAATGTTTGCAAGAGGTTCTCTGGGAAATATATATATTTTTGGGGTGGGGAATGTCAGGACAGACTGACATCATTTAGTTTCTCCCATTTCAGGATGACTTTTTTGATATCAAGTACAAGCAACAGGCAGACTCCATATACATTTCATAATCCAATTTTTGCAGACTCTTTAACTGCACTGCCAGATTTCAGTGGCAAAGGCAAACAGGTGGTGGTTGGGGAATTCTTTAAATCTATCAGGAAATGCTCACAGTTACTGGGTTTGGGTGGTGATGGTTGTGTTTTGCTGCTAGCACAGTGGTGTTTGTAAGTTTGTATTGGGGGGCAGCTTGTGAGGAAGGTTGTGGGGCAACTGGCCACAGACCTGCCAAGGTTACCACATCACTGCCACCTTGCATAGAACAATTCACAGAGAATTAGGCTGTTGATACAACATATTCAATGTATTCTGCATGGCCCTGCTGCCACCAAATTTTTGGTCATTATAAAACCTTTCCCTTGAGATCAAGGGTAGCAGGTAACTTATGGTCTTTTCTGTAACTTATGGTATTTTCTGTGTTGTTGGATTGCAAATTTCATTGTTCCTTGCAAGTGAATTAGTGGTGGAAGACAGAGGAAGTTGCAGCTCAACAACATGAAAGGGTCTCATATTGACCACAAACTTACACTCTTGACTGTGAATTGAGTTCAGAACTCTTCCAGTTTAGCCTTACGGGTAATATTGTATACTGAAAGAGGTTGTGTGTGTTTGTATCTCTATAAACTTCCCCTGACAATTGAATATCCCAAGCACAGTTGGGAACTAACTCCCAACCTCTAGCTCTGTAGCAACCTACCTAAACCACTGAGCTATCCAGCAGGTCATGAAGTAAAGGCTCAGTACAGTACATCTTTGTATCACTCAATTATGGTTTAGTGTTATGTGTGAATGAAGGCTATATGTTTAATGACACTATGTACATTTCATACCACACACAAAAAAATCCATAAATACAATTGTACTGAGCGGGAAAAATCTGAATGCTGAGTTCCTATTTAAAGACCATTTTACTTTTAAAGCAAATGTGGTAAATACGTTATAAAGGATTTCCATGTTCACAGAGCGAGTAAGAAAAATACATCAGCTTATATCTATATCGCTCCAAGATGGCCTAAATTCCTTTTGTATTTCAGACACTCCCTGATTATTAATAATCTGAGATACAGTATGTCTACAGATTAGATGTATGTATTTGAAAGTCTTATCTTCTCTATTTTAAAGAGCTTAGAATACACTCTTAATTCACAGTGTTAGTGTAAATACATTGAAACAAACTACGAGACACTCTGGTTCTATAAAGTGTCCCCTTAATTTAGGGAAATCCTGATAGTGGAACATTTATGAGATCTCATTTATAATTTGTAAATATGATCCCCAATTTTAAAAAAAGTCTGCTTCCCCTGATCACGGCAAAATAATGTGATCTTAAAGAGAATTCATTTAATGTTATCCAGTGAACTCTACATTAAAAAAAAAATTACTTCAGTTACCTCTTAATGGGCCCAGCTGTTTCTGCTTATAAAATCTAATGACCATACACTGATTAACAAATATTAGCATTACCATTAATACAATGGCAACATAAACATTTAGGTTATTGTGTTCAATCAACAGTGCAAAATGTAGATAACAGCCAAAATCCTACTGCATAGTTATACCACCAGAAGGAAAATGGTGTAACTCGCAGTGGCAAATTGCTAATTAATGAGCCTCCATTTGGATTCCTCACTGTGCACCAGTTGAGTGGTTTAGTGCACAATCCAAAATCCAACTGGAAATTCATTAATTAGTGAATTACACCATTTCGTTTCTGCCTGTGTAACTATGCAACTCCAAAGCAAGACAGCCAGAAAGTTCCATTGCCTTGGCATCACTCCCTCTTGCCTCTGGATTGAGAACTAGGGAACCAGCTGGCACCTCTTGCAAGCTGGTTGCACGCCAGCAGTTGCTTCCTTCATTAATGGAAAGTATTGGCAAAACCTGAGTGCCGCTGTCGAAGTGGATGCACTGCACTTGATGGCACTGAGATTCCAAGACAAATTTCAAGTGCCGTTTTTCATCTCTGAATTTATGTCAAGGACTGTATTCACCTGTATCCGTCTTCTTGCCCTTTAAGATCAACAACAGAGGCCTTTTTCATGTGTGTATCCTTCAGGGCTAAACAAGTACTGTATACAAGACACTGGACTCTCCACAATGTCTCTACATCTTTGGAATAAGTTGCTATCTGACCCCATTCCTGCAATTTTCCCCCTCTAATAATATTTTAGAACATATTTCTGTTGTGGTTTTTTAGCTCTACTTGCATTTTGGATTTTACTACTGTTTGGCCTGGACTATTTTCATTGATGGCATGTTCATTTTATTAATTTAGGCTCTTTTTTCTTATTTGATAGGATTGTATTACATGGACTTTTGTCATATATGTCACCTAGCAGCGGGCTTTTGTCCATAAAGATGCCCTAGAAATACTTTACAAATACTAATGGAAGTCTGACTATTTATTTGCACCAATTACACATGACCCACATCAAAGGATTCTCTTCCCCCTAAGTGATCTGCTATTTACCTTGCTTTCTGTTGTGAACCAAATCCTTTTACTGCAGCAGAAGCTATCAGCAAAACACCAGCACATGACCTGGTTTATTTCTCAGGATCACTAATTACAGTTCAGTTTTCAATAGGCTGAGTGCCCTTTAGTTCATAGCAACATAAGAATGCCAGGAAAGGATGCTCAGAATGTCAGATTATGTCCATGCATGTTCCATTAATAGGTCAAAAAAGATGGGTCTTCCTTCTGTAGATGTCCCAGTTTCAGTCTCTATGTTCCTCTGTTCTTGTGTGTGTGTGTGGGGGGGGGATCAAAATCCAACTAAAGTTAAAATAACACCACCATCAGTTTTTCATTCTCACATACATAACTGGACACTATAATGTTTTGTAGCATCTTTTCTGGAAGCAGCATTTGCCTCCTTCCAATGTTTGCTTCTCCCTTGGGGGGGTATCTGGTTTACTGACCACAGATGAAAATAGTTTTCTCAAACTGGGCTGTTTCAGCCTAGTTCTAGGATGTAGAACTAGAGAGGTAGATCAAGCAGGTCACTTCTCATGGTGATCATGTGTCCTCTTTTAGGGGGAATGGACCTGGCAACTTTGCCAGGGAAGTGTGCTGGCTGGAAAGCAATTTAAAATACTCTTCCACAAGAGAACTTAGCACACTTTATTTACTTTAGCACGCATATGAAACCCTGATATATTTCAATCGTTTCCACGTATCTAAACACCTCTGCTGCTGGAAATTGTGTCTTTAGGTAACCAGAAGAGGTGGTGTGAGGGGCAGCAGCAGCAAAAAGATCCGCAGCAGGTGGGGGAAGGAAAAAAGGATAGACAGACGAGTGCAGGGAGCCTGAGAGGAAGAGAAGGACGTGGCCAGTCTAGTGCAGGGTTCGAGGAGCAAAGAGTTGTCTTTGGGCAAAAAAAATGGACTAGAAACACATCCTCATGGATCTACATGACTTTTCTGTAAACAATCTCAATCATAGGCACCATCTCTGACCACAGATTGGTCAGTGGCTTGGGGATGATCCTGTGTTAAAATCATGTGGATCCATGAGAGTCCATGCTTGGATAAGTGTTTCTGCACCATTACAAAGCCAGGCACCCTTCATTTCTGTGGTATATTTTGTGGGTACAAATGGGAACAGCTGCAGCATCCTTAAAGGGACAGATGCAGGCAATCTTTCTAAAGCAGATGTCCCCAACCCCCGGTCTGCGGTCTGAGCCGTACTGGGCCGTGGAGACAGACCTCCCACCCCACCCCCTGCACGCACTCACTCCAATAGAGCTTATTTGCACATGCGTGCACTCCAGTGTACTTGTGCAAGCGCCGCACTGCAGTTTGCACATGCACACAGGCGCACCCAGATAAGCACTGCGCTGCCATTTGCGCATGCACTTGTTTGCACATGCACACGCGCACAGGGGGTGCCCCACCTTCCCCAGCTGGTCCACAGGGTGAAAAAGGTTGGGGACCCCTGTTAAAGAGACAAGCAGCTTTGCTCTCTCTCTCTCTACCTCCCTCACATCACCACAGCAGCAGGGGCGAGTGGCCAGCATGAGGGCAGGGTGAGCAGCAACAGAACAAAGCCTAAAATGCAACAATTCTAAAAGCCACCGTGGCCCCTTCAACTGAGATACAACACAGCTTAAAAACAGATTAAAGTTTTCCCAAAAGAAGGCACATAATGACCTAAATAGCATGTGATTACCATGTGATTTCTAAATTGATTACATTTAGAATGGAGTTTATTATGAAGCAAATGTAAATGTACACAAGCCCTAACACGGAATTGTCTAAAGCTGCTTTTTATTAGTTGCTAGTTACTTGTGATGTCCAATATCATTTTGAATTGTTTGTTTATCTGGATATGGGCTTAGCTGGTTCAGTGTTTTATTGACTGGTTTATTTTATTGTTTGATAAAATGCATGTCTGTGTATTGCACCATGTTGTTTTCTATTGTTTGCTTGCTTACGCCGTGAACTGCCCAGAGAGTGCTTTGCATCATGGGGTGACATATACATTGAAATAATCAAACAAACAAACACTCATTAAAATTTGAAGATACTAAAAACAGGAATTTTCTCTCAAAAGTAGCATGGGTGGAAAATCTA